TGGAAAGGCTGTAGGGGGTGCTGGAGCTGAGTCTGAGAGGTCACGTCAACATACGTAGCCGGCATACCCGCTGCAAAGGATGGAGGTCGTGCGGCAGCTTCGGCGTCAGTGGGGCGGGCCGTTGAACGAGTGGAGGCGGCCTGACGACCACTTGGGCGTAACTTGGGGGCGCAGGGGCCGGACGCTGTTGTGGTTGGTACGCAGGCATGACCTCCGCTATTTCCTGCTCAATCGGCGGATGGGTAGAGAAATGGTAGTGGCCGATTGTTGAGCAGCCGGTGGGTAGGCAAAGGGCTGGAGAGAGAACTGCCACGCGATTTCCTCACGTATGAAGGACTTGAGGTCTGCCAGCAGTGCCACCTGATCACAGCTCGCCTCCAAGCCTGCAAGCCCTGCATCTCGTGGTGTGGAGCGACGGGTCATCCAACGCTGCCGGCGGAGCTCCTCCTAGCTCTGACACAGCGTGATGACCTCAGCTACTGTGCCTGGGTTTTTTGGCAAGCAACATCGTGAAGGCATCATCGTCAATGCCCTTCATGACGTTCCAAGTCTTGTCTGATACGGACATGCTGTCGTTGGATTTCTTGCACAGGTCCAGGACATCTATGTAACTGGAGAATGATTCACCGGCCTGCTTAGCGCGTTCGCGCAAGCGCTGCTCGGCTTGCAGCTTACGAACGGCAGGGCGGTCAAAGACGTTGATGATAGCGGTTTTGAAATCAGACCGGGTTGCGAAATCGGACGCGTGGTTGTTGTACCACAATCTTGCAACGCCCACAAGGTAGAACACCAAGTTTGTCAACTTGCCGTCCTCGTCCCATTTGTTGGGGACGCTCACGCGCTCGTAAATGGCGAGCCAGTTCTCCACGTCAGTGCCATCGGCGCCCGTGAAGATGGGTGGATCTCGGATCCTGGGGACACCGGGACAAGGGGGTTGCGTGGGAGGAGGCGTTTGCTGAGAGGCGTCGTGGGACATGGTAGATTGCAGGGTACGTGAGCGCAGTTGCAAGGGCATCGAAGGAGATCGTAGCACTCTCCACCAGTTTTTTATGGCATTTATTAGCAGGTACACAGCGAGTATACACAATGGCGAAAGTAATGGCCAAGCATGGACTCTCAGCGCGAGCGTCGTCCTTTTCGTAGTAACCAATATATATATATATATTTATATATATATATATATATATATATATATATATATATATATATATGTATATATATATATATATATATATATATATATATCATATAGCAGCTGCATCGAAGAATATTTAAGTCCGAAAATCACTAATCAAGAAGTAAAATCCCTGTTGAACGCTGAGTGATTACAGTACACGCGAATGCATAGGCTGGACACGTCTCGTCGACTTCGGCCTCCGTCCAGACTCTCTTGTCTTGAGACAACGGTGCTTTGCTGACAGTGACTTGGTGTCGCTTTCTTCAACCCGTGTGCTCAGATTTGGGTGCACGTTAAAGGACCACAGGTGGTCGAAATTTCCGGAGCCGTCCACTACGGCGTCTCTCATAATCAAATAGTGGTTTTGGGACGTTAAACCCCAAATATCAATCAATCAATCGCTTTCTTCAATGTTGTCGGCTTCCGAATCGGCATGGAAGACAGTGCTGCTTGCGGTACGGCAGCGATAAAACAATAGAGCGCGCTCTCTGACACTGCCCTCGTCATAGCGTGCAAAAACGGCCGCTTGTGGTTGCGTTAGCTCGCCTTGAAGAAAGAACTTTGTCACAACAATCAGTGCTTGAAAGGCGACGTGATTTGTCGTCGCACAGAAAAACAGTGAAGCAATTATTGAAGTTTTTGCGTGGTTGTGGCCCATTGGATAGGCCATGGCACCCCAGCTCAACTTTTTTGTTATCGCACGTCTATTTCGTTCTTCGCTTTCTTTCCCATCTTTGTTCCCCATTCTCCATTTCCTTAGTGCAGGGTATCAAACCGGATGCTTCAACTTCTGGTTAACCTCCTTTTTTTTCCCTCATTCAATTTTCTCTTTTTATACACCGAAAGTTTCAGTGGGTCCAGTGTTTCAGAATAATGAATGAATGTGCAAGAAATTTTTCTTCCAACGTTTCAGCCGGGGTGTGGTCTCCATCAGGAAATAAAAGGCATTAAAAATGCACTCCTCATATACGGGGCACCACAGGGGGCCCCCAACACGTGTGTAAATATATCGTCACAGGCATGATATGTACAAGGTGCATAAATAGATTTGAACATTCTTTCGATGTGTTTGTGGCACGATGGTGTGACAAGAAAACACCTATATCAATGCATACACCAAGAAAGATACATTACACACACACACATATATATATATATATATATATATATATATATATATATATATATATATATATATATATATATATAATGAAGCCACTTCATTTTAGGGCTCACATGATGACCTCCTTCACAAGCTTCTGAGGCAAAGTTGTACCATAGAATGAGAGACTTGCAGAATATGACTGTCTGATCATGACATCAGTAATAATTAAACTCTGTTGCAAGATCGGGTTGGTCGGTGGATAATAGAAGAAGCGTTAGTCCTACAGTGGGCGTAATCATGGTGATGGTGATACGTAACCAAACCCTCAGATATTCAGAGCAGCTTCATGTTGAGCTTAATCTTGTGTGTGGTGTAACCATCAATACAGCTCATGCGCATCCTCTCCTCCACTCTCTTTTTCTCCTAGATTCCCCCTCATCTGCCTGTCAACGCCGACGCAGGCAGCATCAGCTAGCCAGTTTCTCCCTTGAAAAAACCAAACGATTGCCGTGTACAACCGTTCACTGGCAACGTTGTATATATAGGCTCTGGATCTTGACCTCTAAAATTTTACCGGTAAATGATTTATCCTGCGCGTAATTCAACAATAAGAAGTCGCAGCGTGCCCATTACCTAAAAAGGGACTGCAGGTCGTCGTGTCCACCCAAAGTGGTCTGTCTTTCACAGCCAATTAAGAGTGATTGCATGTTGCAGGAGGACATACCAGTCTATCGCTGTGTTATTTGCACCACTCAGGTTTCTCTCTGGCACAACACCGTGATGAGCGTCAGCGTCAACCTCGAATCTGTGTACGCATTTACGCCCATCTGCTTCGCATCTAAGCATGTTTCACTTTAGCGGGAGATGATGTAATCTTCACATGCGACAGTGTTTTGTGCCGCAGCCCTCAAATAGTTTGATGACGTATTTGCGTGATGGAAGTCGATGTCGAAAAAGATACGCACGGTAAGAAGAAAAATAAAGAAGCTCCCTCAGTAGAAGTTCAACCCGCGGCCTCAGGGTGCGCGACCACAGATGGCCGGCTCGCTTTCCACTGAGCCATGGTCACATACTTTTAACACTTAAAATGCGTCTTTTATATCTACAACGGTTCTCTCAGCGTTCCTGGTAAAATACAGTGTATGCATCATAATCGTAGGATCCTCAATTAGTTCCGGCAAGGAATCGTTTCTAAACGTGCCTCTCATTCGGTGCGTTTATAATAGGAGTATATGCAATTTTGCCAACGTCAAGAAATCCCCAAGGTGGCAATCTTACCACAAGCGTCGGTGTTGCTCACACCGTTCATTTATACCAAAAAAAATCGCAGGATATCCCCAAAGTGAGTATTTATGAGTGGTTAGAAGCGTCCGTCAGCCCGTACGTGCTTCCGTCTGTCCGTTCAGCGAAAACAATACGATCCTGTTCGTTGCTAAAAGATCGAGAAATATGAAAAAAAATCGCCAAAAAATCATGGTGCGGGTGCAGATTTTTTCCTGGATATTTGCGTGGAAAGCAGATTTTCGACCACACAGCCACACGTTCGTTTAAAATTCAGTGAAAAAAGACTCACTTTGCCTGCTTAGAGAGCTTGTATACGAACATACATACAGGTTCTGCATACAAACTTCTGAATACAACATATTGACGCACACGTTTCCTATTTTCACTTTTGTTTTATTCGGTTTTCACCCACAAAGCTTGTCAGAAATACCGAGCTCAAGCCACGCCTCATTATTCGAGACTGTTCATGAATTGAAGATGCTTAGGATTGCGGGAAAGACGCGAACGGTCGAGATTACTCCAGAGATTGCGTGACGACCAGTTATAAGGTTGGAATATTCGATGGCACATGTATGAATGTCAAAGCCCTCCACCTCTTGTCAGTTGCTCGACGGCCGACGGTCCGTTCACCACTATTGGTGACAGTTTGTATGGCTGAAATCTCACTTCTCATTTATGGGCCACAAGTTTGGCCTAATCAACACTTTACACTTTGGAAAAGCTGTCTCTGCATTCGTCAGCGTCACGACCCTATGGCGGTGTAACATCGCCGTAATATTGCGCGGTACAAGAGTGCATTATTGTCAAGCGTCAGGATCATGTCATTTTCACAACGTCTTGGTGATTTAAAGGCGGCCATGCATTAACAAGGCAGACACGTTATGGCACCTATTACGTCACGGTTCGACACTATTTGGCTTGTATATTACCTCGTGAATTAACGCATGCTACGCTGTGCACAGAATGCAGATATACATGAAAGCTTCTTACATGAACCAGATTCAAGTTGATCATTTACATTGTAGTTAGCCACAGTTTAAACTTCTCGAGTGGTATCTTACAATAAAATCTACGCAATAAGTGCTTGACGCAACAGGATATTGCTATCGTGTTAAACTTTAAAAGGCGAAGCTCAAGGGTCCACATAATTTTTATCGCATTTTTTTACTTTCAGGTCAATGCGATGATTAGACACGTGTGAAAACGGTGAATTAATAATGAGTCAGGCTCTTTATCGTGTTCTTTTGAGGCTACATTTTTGCAGTGATGACTTCTGCATCACTTTTAAAGGCTTCCTAATAGGAATGATACGAGGACAGCACAAGTGATCTTTCTCTGCTGTCTCTTCAAGTTCATGTTGTCTCTATATAGCAGCATTGACGTACTTGGTTGGAAGTGAATGCGTATAAAAGAAATGCGACACAATCGAACGATTCATTTGGATGAATGTGCGAGCATCTGCAAGAGCTGAGAGAAACAAATGAGGCTATATCTCCATGTACTGTTCACATATGGCTTCATGTTCACCTTATATGGTAAGTGATTGGTATGATATGCGTTATTATTCGGCATGTTAGAAAGTAGGATATTTAATTTCGCGTTTAGCATGAGAACTAGAGTAAAATATTGTAATATTATGGACTAAGAAGACTCTGCTTTTGAAGTTAGAGGAGGCTTCAGCTTCGCGTTTAAGTGCGCAGATGTTTGCTAAACGTGGCCCAATTCACATCTTTGATTACCTCCCTTCGTATCTTGGTGGACTCCTCAAGTGGGATGAAAGAAAAGTAACGTCTATAAGCAAAATATTGGGCTTCTGATCTGTATTATCACATCCAGCAGAAGTGCTGTTGTGAAGGGACAGCGACGCTATAGTTCTTTCTTTTCCGAGTCAGCTAAGCTACCCCTGCACGTTCATGACGCAACACGCCAAGCTGCAAAGCTTCTGATTTTGATGACGGTATTCCTGAAGGTAATGGTTAAATATTTCTGACCGTGTTTTATTGAATGGGTCTTCAAACAACTAACTGGCTGTAAACATAAGGTATATTGACTCTTCATGAGATTTTACCTTACACTATATACGTTGACAAGACCTACTTTCTTAGCATTAGAGTTTGGTATTACTGTTAAGCCAGGTTTAGAATCAATATACTTTTCGTCACCTAATTTGGCAAACTAGGCCACTCACAGGGAGGCGTTGAGCTGTCAGGCCGCGCATGACCCCAACCTTTCCCTGCTCATGGACACCATAAAATTAACGCGCATAGGCAACAGTGTGTTCCAAGATGTCACCATGAACCTAAGCTTCTGTGCGATGTGCACGACGTGCGTTGGTCCGACGCCCATCGTGCACGTCTCGCAGAAGCTGAGGTCCAGGGTGGCACTTGGTTGACACGCCAGAGTCCTTCTGCAGTGACCACTATGTTCTCGCCATTCAAGTCCACACCTCGCCGTGCAAGCCTCACTGCACACGCGGCCCGCCATAACTTGTGAGACATGTTCGAGAACGCCGCCTGCATTCCGCCAATTTCAGATTGAGGAACGTTCATCGTGGACCAGTGGCTGGTTTGTCCACGATAGTCAAACGACTTGATTCTGGTTATTGTCCTGATTCTTGCCAAAGAGAACCATCCATAAATTGGCTCTCCCCTTGCCCATCTCCTGGTCGATCGCACGGGCCTCAAGAATCATTGGCATAAGCATTAGTACCACCATAGATTACGTCACACCATCGCGCATCTTGACCATGGAACCGAAAAACGAACCATCGTGCTTGCCCACGCTCACAGAAGTAGAGGTAGCACGTCAAGAGCAGAGCAACAGTATAACTTTCATTAGGGTTATTTAACTCTGTGAGAGAGAAGTGTTCAGTTACTCGTAGAACTGCCAACGCAAAAGAAGCTGCCAAAGCACTGATTTTCAGGTGGAGTTTCCAGTCTACGCAACTGGTGCCGACGTGGCGTAGACAGAATCTCGTAGGCTATCCTAGGTAGACGGAGTACAAGGTAGCACCTCAATCTTACCGCCGACCCTTCAAAGCAGTGTAACGGTCTGGTAACCATACGCCTATAACCTTAGACATTGATAGGATAACTTTCAGTGATACAAGAAGTATGGTTTTGTAAGTGTGAATATCTCGTTTCTGAAAGGTCAACAGCAACACATTCGAAGGAAAGACAAGCAGCCAATTATAATGCGTAAACTAGATTAAGAACTTGTTTTGTGTGCGCGACGCGAATCCCTCTACCGTGCCTAATATCAGAATAAGTGTAAGGAATGGACCTATTGCTACTAAAGAGAGTACAGGCTCAAGACAACAAAAAAAAGGAAGGGGGATGTGTTTTATAGAAAAACCACAGCATATCCATGGAGTGCATGTTGATTAGTGGAACGAAACTTTTGTCTCTCTGTCTGCGCTGCCGTTCGTTGTCTGTTCTTGCTTCCGTCCGTCCATGCGTCCATCTGTACAACCATTCATTCGTCCGTTCGTGCATTCATCCGTGCGTCTATTCGTGTGTGCATCTGTTCATCCGTTTGCGCATCCGTCCACCCGCCCACGTGTCCGTCTGTCCATGCATACATCCGTTCGTGCATCCGTTCGTTCGTTCATCTATGCTTCTGTCCATCCGCCCATCCATGCATCTCTTTGTCTCTCCGTCCGTGCGTTCCTATATACGTGAAGTGAGCACTTCAAGTACAACCACCTCGAATATTTTGTTCATATATTAATCATATTGAAGTACCTATATCCAAAGGACATTCCAAGTACTAAACGAGACGTGACATGGCCGGACTTCGGGAGCGACACGCGCGTACTTTCTTACGACCTGCGCTTTCTGTCTAGTTCCCTTCTTTCACAGCCGCTACTTCATGGCACTGTGGCCCAGCCCTCGCTAATCCTGTTTAGAAAAATATTATTATCACAAACGTCAATAACACTCAACAGAACATTCCCTTTTTAAACATATCTAACAATGATGACAAAACAGACGTCATTTACATGAGCTTGATTATGAGATGACGTTGAAAGAACATGTACATTCGATGGTTCGCACAAACACAACCACAAAAATATTTTAAGGTAAACAAGAGACACCAATAAAACTTGAATATGTATATTTTGAATATTTACATGTTGGCATACCATTTCTGCCAGCGCATCGACAAATCAGCCTACCAATACCAGGCCGACCGAAAGACAAGTTTCACTCGTTCGTATAATCCTTGCTGATAATCAAGGAGTTTATGCCCAGCGAGTTAAACATGGCAACCTCTCTAGTCAAATAGTGTTTAAAGTGCATCTTTCTGATAGTGGTTTTTTTCTTATTAGGCATCAATTCAAAGCAAATTTTATTGTAGATTAAGTGACCAATACACTTGTCTTACTATTCAGAAACCATTTTTTTATTATGATTAACCCGCGCGGGTTTCTTTCTCAACTCCCGTGAGTGCGCATGTGCCGCTCCTCTAGTCCGGCTTTGAAGGTGGCTACGTACTACTACGACGCACTACTACTACAACTACTAGTACTGCTACATACATCGCGGATGCACGACCCACAACTTAAGGAGATTCGCCCCTAGAAAACAAAAGAATTCGAACTTGCACATCCATATTTATAGGTGAGTGATCTACCACAACGCCAACTTCCACCATGCTGACTGCGCAGTAAAGAAATCACAGCATATCCACGGAGTGAATGAGGATATAAGCGTGGCGAAGTATCCGTCCGTCCCTGCGTTTGTCTGTGTGCGTCCGTCCATGAGTCCGTCTGGGCGTGCACCTGTCCGTCAATTCGTCTGTCTCTCTGTCTGTCTGTTGGTCCGTCCATCCATCCGTCCGTCCGTCCATTCATCCGTCCGTCCATGAGCCCATCTGTGCGTGCAGCTGTCCGTCAATCTATGAGTCCATCCATCCGTCCATCCGTCCGTCCATCTGTCTGTCTGTCTGTCTGTCTGTCTGTCTGTCTGTCTGTCTGTCTGTCTGTCTATTTCTCCATCCTTAGGGCTGTACCATCCGATATCGTCAACTATAGGAAAATCACCAACGCCATCTAGAGGCATCATTTTCAAAAACATATACACACAACGCTATCTAGTTAGCAACTCCTAATACTAAATAGAAGTGTCTATTACTACTACTACAACATACTAATACGAGGCGCACAACCCACATCCTAAGGGGCGCCGCGCCTAAAACACGCCGTTTCGCTTCAGGGGTCGCTGTTTGAAGGTACACGCGATGAATCTTCATAACATAAGAACTGCTGCCGGCCACGTATGGCTGCCGGCCATGCCATAGCAAAGATATCAACTCTCTTTTTAATTTTGAAATTTATACACAAAAACATACGAAAATTACCCATGAGCTGAGGTGAATTATCAGCTCTTACTTCCGAGTCAGAGAGCCATTTCTCGCTGTTCCTGCAAGTTTACGTGCACAAAAGCTTCATGTCGACTCTAATGTTCGATGAGTACGTGCTTACTTGATTGGTACATGTGTATTTTTTTGTCCAAGCGACGACATGCTAGTGCAGCGGCCATGTCAGTGTGCACTCATGTGCGCCTTTAAATTGATAGCTGCCTCTCCATAGCTGATTGCTGAAAAACAAAATGAGTTGGCATGAAAGCATCTGATCATGCCACTTTTTTAACGCGTACAAAATGAAAAGTCTGTGTTTTCAGTATGAGTCGGTGGAGTGACGCGAGCACTCCCGGAGGCTTTCGGTGACGGCCAGTGTGCGTTGGATGATTGGGCTTGCATCGATGCTCATCGCTCTTTGTGCGGACGCGCAAAACCCAATCGTTCATTCAGGTTAAACGATGGCAAGGCTCTACTGCACAGAAGCGCCGATGACAAGTATAACTGGCTCGACCGGTAAGATAAGCCTACATTTGCTGGTAGTCGTACTAGTACAGCTCACCAAGAGTTGGACCTATCTCGGGGAAGGTGGTTCGCGAAGGTCGAAGTTTAGCATTTCACCAGCCTCTCATTATAACATTAAAGTGTAGCCGAGGTAAGTAAAACTGTAAGAATTGCAACAGCTGCGTTTGAATGTTTGTTTTGTCTACCGGCGTTGTTTGTTTTTTTTCGTACTTGTACACGCTGTGGCAACGCAAGTCGGATCGGACGTCGGATCGTAACGTTCGTAGAACATTTCGCAGCCAGCACTGCTGAAAGGTCGTCCAACAGTGTTTGTAAGCACTTCGCTACAACTCCCAGACTTGGACATGAGTGGCTTCTCTGCATTGAACCAATAAGACAGAATCCCAGCTGAAAATTAAAATTTAGTATTGAAAATGACGTCGAATGTCATGACAGTTTTTATAATAGAAATGAACGTGTCTACATGGTACCAAACGACCACCAGATACATACATGTGCTAAATGTATATTCACTTTTCAAACACACGTAATATAGATGTAATCCCATCCGCGCAAGAAGGGGGCTACACATCAGCAAGTATAAATACCAGTTGCTGTATGTGTGGCTGTCTGCAGCACGAGAAATGTATGTTTAGTGTGGCTGCATTGT